AAGATAGACAGGAAAAGGGGGGCAGAGAGTGAGAGGGGATGCAAAGGGCCGCTGCATCAAGGGCTCAGCCTTGGTACATGGGGTGCCAGCTCTACCAGGTGAGCTATCCAGGCACCCCATCCCACTGTATATCAGAGGAGAATACAGTGTTTTTACTGTACAATATGTATTTAAACTATATAGTTGCTAGTTAAATCCGGTTTCTATCCAGACCTTACATAAATACATGGTTGTATAATACATTGCAGACATTCTTAAAGATTAAACCAGAGGTTCATAACCTTTTTGGCTTACGACCCCTAATCAAAACTCTGTATTTGGGGCTCCTTGTTATGCTGCAGATTTATTTACATAACTGTTTAAGGCCCCCCCAAAAAAATATAGGTTTGTGTAGCATAACTTTTTTTATCCTTTATACTCCATTAATCATCTCCTGACCTTTATGATCATTTAGAAGGCCCAAACCCTATGTTGGTAACGACTGAACTAACAGTACTTCTTTATAAAGTAGTGAAAACTAGCTCTACCACTTTGCTCTCTGCTTGTGGATTACATTAATGGTCTTATACTGTCATAATAATCAGTCATTTTGATCCTTCAAGTCTTGGCTGATATTACTTCAGTGAATGATCCGAGCACCTCTCCCACCATTGGCTAAATTACAATACAAAGTGTTATAAACATCCAAAGGGGTGAGGTGACTGAGGAGGTGCAGTCATGAATGGTTTGCTCATCTGCAAATGAAATGAGAACTTCACTTAAGCCCTGTTTGCATTTGTAAACACCAATTAAGTAAAGAATGGTGAATGGTCCGTTTGCTATGCTCAGACCTTAATAAATGGCGTGAAAAGGTTTTTTTTTATGCAGAGACAATGGAGAATGGTAATATGGGAGGTGCTGTTTACAAAGATCCACAAGGTGGCGACATGTAGATTTCAGTAAATCAGCACATGGCTGGCTTTTCAGTCACAGCAGCTGCCCAAAACAACTTTTACAGAAGTTGTTTATAGTGTTAGTTTATACTCTGCATTAATACACACAGCCTCGTGAAACTACAATTATTGTCTTATCTTAAAAATAAAGTAATAATGTACTGAATTAAATAATCAGTGTGAGTGATTTGCAATATTTAGTAGTATCCGGATACATTGTTTAATATAAAACGTTTCAAAAGTCCCTGTGGTCATTTAATCAAATTAATTGTTAAATAAAAATGCTCTAATTATCCACCTCCAGATGCAGAGTCCCGACAGTGTAGTACAATGCAGTTACAGTAGGAACCGCTGTAATTACACAGGGAGGTATCCTGTTTCAGGACACTTGCTATTGGCTGAGTCTGTGATGCCCTGCGCTGATTTGCTGTAGCGAAAGACTCAGCATCGTCAAAGTCCGCAGACAGACCTCCATCTGGTTCAGAGGACAGAATACACAGAGAGACACATCACATCGGATCAGCTGTAAATCTGTGGAGTTGTTCACTGTACCGGGATTCATTACATTTTCACCAAATGCGAAGGTGAGTGTTTTACTAATAAATGAATGTATGTCTTAAGAAGTGTCATACACGTGACAAGAGCCCATCACTAATCCAATGCATTGCTTTTTGTTGCAGAAACGATTAACAGGATTCTAAACTTCGCTGCAGACATTTACTCACAAGCAATGGTAAGTTGTCTTTACTTTTTTTCACGTGTTTTTATATTTTACTGTTCTGCAGATGCATTGCAGTGGTTTGATTGTGATAGCAAAAGGCCCTGAGCAGAAATACTTTAGGTTTTTGTTTGTAATTCTGAGTGTTTTTTTTAAAGCTAGAATGTTTCCCCCAAAGTCACAGTCAATTCAAACCACTCTGCCCCTTTTTCCTAATTTTGTACAACTGGATGAATCTCCTCCTTGTGTGAAGGCAGCCAAGGAGAACAGGGCATTTTAAGAAGTGCAGACTGACCACAGAGTCCCACTGAGGATATTCCTGTATGACAGATAAGTCCCCCCCAGGGGCCAAATGGTTCAGCACCCACAGCTGTGATAACATCATGGCATTGTGGTGTTCTTACTGCTCCAAGCCAAACACTGGCAGGACAGGGAGGGCCAACAAACTAAATATAAGAACTCAGGCTCAGGAATTATGATGTCAAAACTTGTGTTTTTCAAAGATTTCTATTTTCGGCCACAAGGAAGTTTGCTAAGATAGTATTTTTCGTTTAATTGTTGTAAAGATTGTACAGTTTAGATATCATACAGCAATATTACATCAACTGGATTGCATTGATTTAAGTTTTTCTGAAGGCTGGAAGATTCATAATTAATACATGATTGTTGTGTAATTCCAAAATGTTGCTGTCATTTCCTGCTTTATAATACAGACCAGCCAACATCCTGTGAGTTAGGGGAGTCCAGAGAGGATATGTGCCTCTTCACTCCTCCATGATTCACTGTACTTTGTTCAAACTTCCCCTCTTGCTTTAGGAGGCAGGGAGAGTTTTCCCAGTATAAAATGTGCATCCTGTTCTCAGAGCCACAACTTTTTCATTTTCATTTTCATACTGCATGGGATGGTCTCCATAAAGCTTCTCTGAGGTTTGTCAGGAATGCTTCACTTGTTATATGGTCATAAAGCAGAGTGATCTCAGCTGGTAAAAATCTTATTGGCCCAGTTCTGGAAATAACAGAGGGAACTGTGCCTCAGCTCGGCCCGGCCACGGTATGATGGGATATTTTGGAAGCCAGCCTAACTGCTCTTTAGACT